TGAGATATATATATATATATAAGATTTCTACATTCTTCTCTTATAATCCTACATATTTGACCCACTTTATACGGTGGTTTATTTATTAAAATTTACATTTCCTAACAAATTAAGCATAGATTATTCTATAGAGAAGTTTAATAATAATAATAAATTAAATTTGCATAATAAAAACCTGTAGTTCCATTTTTTTACACAGTGGCGTTACAGTCGATTGTTATTGGTCAGCCATGACTAGAGTTGGCAATCAGACAAATAGTACCGATCCCGATGCCATCAATTCAAGGATATTTGTGGGAAATTTAAATACATATCTGGTATCTAAAGAAGAATTGGAAAATATATTCCAACGTTACGGAAGAATAAGAGGTATATCGATGCATAAAGGATATGCATTTGTACAATTCACAGATACATGGGATGCAAGAAATGCCGTTATGGGTGAAGACGGTAGGAGCGTAGCGGGACAGGTATTAGGTAAGATAACGCCGTTTTCAAATGTATATATATAATGTTTTTTTTTTCTAATTAAAAATCTCCTATCCTTTATTATTAAATTTACACACTAACTACACAGTAATAGATTCCGTTATTTAGAAATACAGTAGTCGTTAGGCCTACTTATTCAGTTCTACGAAGGCTGTCGCCAACATCTATAACGAGGAGTCTTCTGGATTTCGTTAAGTTTCATCACGCTTCAATATATTTAAACATTTACGATTGACGTGAAAGGTATGAACGATATTAAAATTAGTATAAATGTAAAAGAAAGAGTAGTGTTTTGGCTAAAACACAACGGTGGTCGGACGAATTTCAAACATATTTTTCGTTTCTTTTGGAACCTTTTTTTTTTTCTTCTTCTTTTTCTTGTTTTTGTCGGGTTGGGGAGCTGTCAATTTGGCAAAAAGCCAAATGAAACGGTTCCGTTGTGCTGCCGATAGCCATTCAACCATTTACATCGAAAGACACTCAACACATCGCTCATAAAATAGCTCGTGCAACGTATGCGTTAAAGTTACAACGCTATTGGGAAAGTTCAAATAGGGCGTTACGATTGTGGGTAAGTTTTTTTTTTTTTTTTCTTTTTCCCCCCTCCCCTTTCTAAATATACGTAAGGCACGTAATTAAAACACAATTTTTACGTATAAAAAGTGTGTGTTGGTATGTTAACGACGTCAGCGTGTGTGACGTGAAGACAGCTGACAAATGACAACTTATTTTTGGCAGAGGAAAGCTTACGAATTGTAATAGTACATACGTTTTTCAGTTCAAAGCTCTAGAGTAAACCACAGTTAAAATTATAAATAGATATTTTTCAGTCGTAACTTTAACGAAAATAATTGTAATATCGACAAAATAGCATTAGAGAGATACTTGGCTGAGTTTTCATTCTACCAAGACATTTTTGAGGGTAAAAAAAAAAAAAAAAATCTTTTCATTTAAGTAATTGTTTTTTTTTTTCCAATTTTTAACAAGTATTTTTCTTAAATATTTTGAACGTCATTTTGTGAGGTCGACACTATGACCTTTGACCTCTATATGACCCTTGCAGACGTGAACATGGTCTTGGAACCAAAGCCACACCAAGTTGTTCGGAAAAGATCGAATAATCAGCCTTTGAATCCTTCAAGCAAGTAAGTTTAATATGATTTTTTGGTAAAGAAAAGTATTTTTTTTTCTCTCTCTCTCTCTTTTTAAAAGTATTTTGATGTATTTTTTTAGATAAAAAAAATCACTACACGGCTACACTTATATGACTTTTTTTTTGTTGTTTTACAGCGTCAACTACGTTTAAAAATGCTTAATTTTTGCAGGTTGGCGCGTGGCGCTCTCGCTTGTTTTTCTTTTTTTTAAGTTATTTGAAAAGTCTCGGTGAATTTTTACGTGTCTACTCTACAACTAGAATGACAGCAATTAAACGAAACCATTAATACGACGTGGAGTAGGTAGACGATCGATTTCCGGAATCGGATATTTACTTCCGGTTCGCTTAACGACATGTGTCCGACGTTTCCCTCTCCTCCTACGATTATAAGCAATTTTCGCGACGAGTAAGATTTAACTAAAGATGTATATAAAGGCAACCTTTATCGTGTGACTATAATTGAGCTTATAAACCGAGATTATTGTTTTAATATATAGCCTAAATAATCTATAATGTGACATGACATTTGAGGAGTGTTTTTTTCGCTTTCAACTATAGCAGGGATTTCTTTACTGTTTTTTTTTTAAAATCTCAAATAATTAATCGAGCAAAACAGATTTGTAACTTGAAAAAACACGTAAGATGCCAAGACTGAAATGGTTTTTTTCTAATTGCAGTTATTTGTTTTCCCGACAAGCCATGCCTCCGGTCAAACGACCCAGAACCGAACTGACATCAGTTCCATTTGTGCAAAAGCCGAAACTAAAGTCTAGAGAACCGCTAATTCACCCCAAGAGCTATCAATCAGGTAAAAATCAGTTCCCGTTCTCTAGTATTTTTTTTTCTTTCTTTCTTTCTGTGTGTGAAGAGTTTTGACCGCCAGATATCTCGTTTCTTGTTTTTAGACAATTCTGACATACTCATCTGTGGCAATTGCAAGGAGCTATTTTCCAGTCTTCAGAAGTTAATTGAGCACAAGAAACAAAGCTGCAAGCTAAGGTTTACCTGTAAATGTCATCATGGCTCTTCTACAGGTAAAGAATACTTTTATTTTAATTCCTCTTTCGGTGTGTATTCTAAACAAAACACATCGTTCCATTGTTGCAAAATAGAAAATCATCGATCCTACCAATCCATGAGGGGTTGAAATTGTTTATTTTACATTTAAACTATATTTTTCCCATCGTAGATTCACCTAAAAACATTAACTGTGCCCACTGCCAGACTAAATGTTCGACATGGTGGGATCTCATTCAACACGTGCAAGGATGCCACGGCATATCTATTTATCAAAATACAAACGTAAGTACAAGTATAATCTACTAAGCAATATATATATATATAATAAAAACTTTACTTTTCTCACAGATGACACTGACAGGTGCGGAAAACGGTACGCAAACCTCAACATCCGAAAGCTTAGCATCTGGAGAGTTCAACAAAGAAACTGTCAACTCAGATACTCAGAGTGGCTTGGATGATAACGAATGGGAACAATCACCTCCGGAGACAATACGCGTAAGTAAATAAATCGAAAGAATTTTTCAGCCATTTTCTATAAACCCTTTTCTTCATCTCAATTGTCATTCCAGGAAAACAATTTATCCGAATTGACTCAAGAAAAAGCAGTCGATACCAACGATCTGGAGATTATGGTGGAACAAGGGTGATGTAACTAAAATCTACACTTACCTAAGATATATATATATATCCCGTCATGGACACGAGGACAAAATTTTGCTCAATCCATGAAAAAAAAACCCTAAAAAGAAAAAAAAAAAAAAAAAAANAATTAGAAAGGTCTACTTAAAAATTAATGGACCTATCTCCTTAAACGTGAGGCCTCTACCAAGTGCGATGCGTAAACTGAGGGCCTCACTAACTAGGACATAATGCGTTCATTCTATAATTTATAATATATATATATATATATATTATTGTTTTCTCGTTAAAAAAAACGATACATTTTGCGAGTAGACATACAAACGGAAGGTATTAAAAAATACATAGGCTTATATTTCAATTATACAGTGGTCCAGAAGTCAATTAACCGTTTAATTCAGTATTACCTGTATATGGTTAACTGACTATTGGGCCACGCTATATAATTCTTTTTCTAGAAATTTTGCGAGCGTACAGCCGAACTGGCGGATAGAATAAATAAAAATTTATTTTATAAAGATAAAACTTCACGCGAATCGAGTTAAATTAATATATTTGTTGAAATTATTCGTTTGATTTCGAATAATCAAGATGGATGCCGATTCATAGACATCGTTTTGTGCGTAAATGCTCCTTTAATCCATTATACAAAACTTGTGTACTTTAAAAGTTTTTAATTTTCCCGGCTGTTGTATATAACAGAGGGAAAGTATGGCTATCGGTCAAAAATATGACCCCNAAAAAAAAAAAAAAAAAAAAAAAAAAAAAAAAAAAAAAAAAAAAAAAAAAAAAAAAAAAAAACACATCTTTTCCCAATTGTCTGTCAATTTTCGTTCTCAGGATTTAATTCTTAAAGTGCCAACCAATTATGGAGCACAGGACCACTGGATTATTCTAGTCAGATTAATGTATAAATATATATATAAAATCTATTAGAGAAAAAAAATATATATATAGAGATTCTATATTAAGCGGGTAGATAGACGATATATAATATAATATATATATAGTATATTCTTAGGTATAATTATCAAGAAAAAAAAAAAAAAGAAAAATTATAATAATATTTTGTCTTAAATGTTATGTTTGTGAAGTAAATTGACGGTTTAAAAGAAACAATATGGCGGAAGTTAAATCGCCTATAAAATCAGTCTATGTCTTCCCAAGATAATTGGAATTGCTACAGAATTCCTAAAAGAATGCATATCTTATTCATGCACAATTTATCATTCAAAGATGATAAACAATTTATTTTTATTTTATTTTTTTCCTCCCTTCTCTCACCACATCATTATGATATATAGCGCATATCCTAACATATCAACGTATGTACAGTATATATATATATATATGTATATATATATGTATATATATATATATATATAAAACCTAAATAGTCAGATCGAAATTTTAAATCTTTCTCTTCTTGTCCGTATAATTAGCCTTTTAAATAGTTAAACAGAAGAAAGGAAAATAATACAAAGAATTAGCCTTAGAGAAATTCATCTGATTGTTTTCAATTGTATTTTTTTTTAAACCAATTTTGCCTTTTATGGTATGTGATGACGTATATAGCACATCTCCCTGGGGGATATTTGAATTATCGATCAATTTTTCGCAGCTAGTTCCCCGCATCGATGTTGCCTTAATATATTAATATAACTGTGACACTTTTCTTCACGTGTTGTGACTGTGTCAAAAAATAAATAAATAAATTACAGATTATCATACTTTATGTAATAAAGTTGTTGTCTGGTTATAAAAATTGTCGTTGTCTTTAAAATAATAATTGCTATTTTCTCGTTTTAAATCAATGATAAAATAATTAAAAATGTAAAATATCTAACAAAGGAAGGATGTTTTCCTTCTATTAACGACTATTGTTAATGTTCTGTGAATCAGTTAATGNCACACACCTGTATGTTTGTGTGTGTGTATCTGTAAGATTTATGTGCGTTTTTTTCTCCTTAAAATAGCAATGAAATTAAATTGAAGCACATAAATACACTTATATGTGTTTATGTACTGTACTTTCATGTAGTATTGTTAGAAGCCTTCTATCCTTGTTATTTAATCTTATAAATGAACATTTCGACAAAATATACAGTGTAGAGCTATATATATACACACACAGCATGTATTGTTTTATATCTTATTCGAATAATCAAAGTACAGTCGAACCCCCTATAACACTGTTGATTATTTCGTTTTATATGAATTCCATGTTGTACGAGCCACTTAGATTTTACAAATACGTGTACCGGGCTGTGAGTGGCTCACGTATTTGTAAAATCTAATTGGCTCGTACAACATGGAATTCATATAAAACGGAAAAATCAACAGTGTTATGGTGGTCGACTGTACTGTGTATAGTAGCTTATATAAAAGAATAAAAACTCTAGTTCTTTCGAATAAAATTACGACAAACATCTTACTAATACGTTAATTTAAAGATAACTGATATAATATTAAACATACTATGATTATCAAGTTAGAAACAATTTTTGTTTTAGTTAGACTAATAAAGAAATGGATAAATTTAATAAATATGACCACTGTTTACAATAGTCTATACATTCTTTATTCAATATACTTCTTACATGTCGTGTTTTACATACGGATAATTTAGAAAGAATTTTCGTATGGGATTTTGTTCTGTTTTAAAATTGAAAATAAAACAGATATGTATTAAAGAAAACAGAAGAAAAAAACAAAATTTTCAATATATAAAAATGAACGTTAATAGAAAAGAAATGGAATATATATATATATAAAGTTTTCTTTTGATTATTTTGATAAATTTCTGAAATAGGAAGAAAAATAATGAAAATTTCAGAATTTTTGATAAGTTCTTTTCAAGGTGTCATAATCATTCTTATGCGGTTGATATGCAAATTGGCAGCTGAGCTTTTCTTCGGTGTTTCAATTTATATAAAGTGAAGAGCAGATTTTAAAAGTAAAAAATATAATGAAATAAAACTGAATGTATATATGTATATATATATGATTAAAATACCATTTTTTAACGAAACTTTTAAGATATTAATTTATAAAAGATATTTTAGAATTGTATACTTTACCCCCCTCCCATTTTTTAAAATAAAATTCCATTAGATAGGAAAAAAAAAATATTTTATTTAAATCGATATATTCATTTTAAAAATCCTAAGAGAATTACATAAGACGTAACTAATAATAATAATAATAATATATAATAATATATTCTTAAATTTTTGAAATAGAAAAATCTGAGAATGACGTCGCTTGAATAATTAATCATCAATTTAGCGAGAAAAACACACTGAAACTGTTCTTTAATATAACATCAATATTTAATGTATCTCTACGCTTTATTGAAATTTCGAACAAACGAGAATAATAAGCATAAAATATTTGACGTCACTTTAGAGAGATAGCGAGAGAAATGAAATGAGATTTACTTGTTTCCCAATGAATATTTAAACAGAATGCCATCGCTTCTAAACGGATTCTAATAAGAAAGCGCGAATACATCGACTATTATCTACGTGAGAAAATAAAAACAAAAGCGTACTTATTAGCCAGCTTATTAATTTAATACTAAAAATAAAGGATTTATCTTGATATACGACTGTTATATAATACAATAAAACTATGACCAGACAGAATACAATAACAGTTTATGTTTCGATCTCGTATTTCTAATTAATCGAAACATCACTCTACATTCTCGAATCGTGCGTACAAAAGCTTAAATATAGGTCCACTAAATAAGTGCATAACTGACTCATTCGAGCTACTGATTCATAGGAAATTCGAAAAATTTATCTACGAGTTTAAAAAAAACACACTAAAAATTTGGCATATGAAGCCAACTAGAAATTCATAAACGATCCATCAGAAATTGTACACCATTTAGCAGCTAATGTTAACATTTCCTTGCTTAAATTTCGTCGTGAATTAACTGTACATTCGGAATATATTTTGTAAAAATATTTACTTGTACGAAAATCCTATCTTATACAGTAAAAACTCTATCCGGATTGCCATCCGACTTTGTTAAAAATAATAGGTATTTACTGTACTGTATGCCTATTTATTTTGTATGTATATCTGACACGTACAAAAGTATGTGTGTATATAAATAAATAGTCATATATATAGCCTATATATACGAATATTTGCACATAATTATGTACACGTTTACGGTACATAAAGGGGTGTTTGGATAGAAAGAAAATGACTACTTTAAACAAAAAAATCCAATTATCCAAATGCTAATTAATTGGGATAATTGGAGTTTTATACATTATAAATTTCATATATGCTATTTATATTATGGCACGATTTTCTTTCTATTGATAAAAGCCACAATAAAATAAATTATTATTTTTTTCTGTACGTTAATTTAGCATAATGGGAGTATATGGAAAATATTTAATTATTATTATTATTATTATACTTTTTCAGGCTATAAAAGACGTTAACTACACAACACAAGCCAAAGGTAGGCCTATATAATGTATTTAGTAATACATTTAACGTTATAATAAGTTATCTAAAGAAAAGTAAAAGATATCCATCAAGACTTTTATTTTTTTCTTTTTTTTTTTATATATATTTTCCTTCTCTTGTAGACAAGATTCTTGTCACAAATCCCAAAGGCAATTCTTTTTATGTTAAGTTTTTGACATCTTTCCTTGTAACCGACTAAAATCAATAACGTGTAATGGCCGTTGTATATCCATAGTAGAAAACTATATTTTACGGTTAAAGTAAAGAGTAATTCAATATATTTTTATTTATCATTCGTCTAACCATTCTTTTTTTTTTTTAATTTTTTAATATAATTTTATTTTTTATTCGTCGCTAGATGGTGCCACTAGTAATTTAGTTATACATAAGGGGGGACACACACACACACACGATTCAGTCAATAGTTACATTTTTAATACAAAATATTTCATGTAATTCTCTTTTTAAATAAGTTATTACGTAATAAAATATTATCTAAACATTATTTTATAATCTTTATCAATGTAATAAATGTTACAGCGGCGTTACGGATTTTTTTTCTTTTTTTTTTTCTTTTTAAGAAATTCAAAAGTACGATCGATCCTTTTGTAGGAAAAAGTTTTTTTTTCTTTTTTTTTTATAAAACCAATTAACAAGCTTTGTAATGTTTCTCTCCGACACCCACTCAGTCTGGCTTACTGCTACGATATTGGCTACCTGTAAACACGTGACCTACTCTACTATTGGACAGAAAAGACAGATCGCGATCCTGCATTTGAGGAGCATCATCGCCTTGTGCCGCTAGAAAGGCGGTCGGGTTTACATGTAACTCTTCTGACTGGGTGAGTATATTTTATACAATTCCCAAATATGTATATTTAATATCAATTTTAAATACCTAATTATCATTTTTATGGTAAACCTCTATTATACGGATTACATAACCCATAACCTATATATATATTTTTGTTAACTTTTAAGCTACGCTGTCAAATATTCGCGTAAATATTCGTCATATTTTTAAATCCTAAACGGTGACAAAGTCATATAAGATATAAGGCCTTAATATATTGTACTGTATAGGCCTATATTTATTTATTTCGTCTAATATGGACATTATGTTTTATGGTATATTCTTGTTACATATTTTATTACCCATCTATCATAGCTTATCGTCCTCGATTCGAACAATAGTTCTGTTATTATATTTTAAAATTCTCCAAATATAAAGATGTTCCTTTTCTTCCGAAACATTTTACACAAAATGGAATTTTATTCTTCTCATAGAAATGTAAATTA